GAAGAAAGCACAGAGAAAGCACGAAGGTGGCTAATCAGAAGCAAAAGGAGTAATTCTCCCACCTTGTGCTGGGATTGAAGGTATGTGCCACAGCTAAATTGTCAATACTGAACTTAGAGAAAGTGAACTAAAGTGTAAAAATGAACAACTGATACTCAAAGCATTTTTGAATTCTTGTTGTTCATTTATTTAACGTCTCCATCTCTGAGGAATGTTAACAGTCAGCTAGAATCCTTGCTTCTTTTCCAGAAATTAGCTTAAGTCTACTGAAAATCAACACAATGCTGAGATGTGGAGACCCTCATTACATAATGCACTGTAATCTAGTTAAGTAATCCAACAATCTCTATTGTGTCAAGATAAAGTGTTACTCAGATGGTGACAAATGGTCCTTTGGTGAGTGATTGTGGGAAAACTGGAAAGTCAGGGGTAAGCCTCCTAATAACCTTTAACTAACAATCTTCATAAACTGGGTGCACTATTATAGAATTTTAGGATAGTGACTACATGGCAGTGATGATGAGCATTTCCTGAGAATTTCCATGCACAGACATTGCTGTATTTCAGAAACAGTTTAACAGTGTATCATGTTTACTGTCAGCTCACAGAAGATAAAAATGATTTAGGCAAGAGAGAGAGAGAAAGAGAAAGAGAGGGAGAGGAAGAGAAAGAGAGGGAGAGGAAGAGAGAGATTGAGAAAGAGTAGATGAGATAAGGAATCAAGTCCACCATAAACATGTTTACTTCACAAAGGATCTTTATAACATTGAAGATCTATGTATCAAATAGAATTCATAATTGATACATAAAATATTATATTACAACTCTATGTGAATGGCTTCATTCTGTTACTAGTTTGGTCACTCCAGAGGATAGCCACTCAATGTCCCTGACTACCTCCATAAGAGGCTTCCCAGGCTGGACACGTTTGCACTTTAATGAACATTTTACTACTTATTTCACATTGGGCTTCAAAATATTTGCATCTTTAAGCTGAAACAGCTCAAGTTGACGTATCTGAAATATTACTTGGAGAAGATTACTAAGATTAGAGACAGAGGCTTATCCATTACAGCCTATTCTGATACTTGTGAAGAACCTGGAGATCTGTTTGTGGACATATATGTGTCTACATACAATACATGAGACATAATTCTCCTCTTATAGGTCATTATGAAAATAGAACTTTCTGGTATGAATCCCAAATGGAATTCTATTACATTGATCTTGGCATCTGAGGATAAACTCAACAGCTGATGGAGACCTAAAAACAGTAGAAAATTTAGTCAGGTTTTGACTCTTTCAATATAATTTCAAATAACAAGGACAGAAATTTTTACTGATTTAAAATTCTCACTTCATTTTGTGTTATTTAGTATTTTTAATAGCTCAACAGAATAGCATTTGTATTAGATAATAGTTTTATAAGTATATAGAGACCTTCTGATGCTCCAATTTTTATTTGACTATGAACTCTGGAAGGTATGAAATATACTTATTACAGACTGTATTTTGCTGCTAAAAGTATAAAATGAACAAATATGCACAGACTGATAAGTTGCCAGTATTTACTGTCATCCATTCCTCCACAAGGACTTCCTCCATTTCCCCAGTCTCAGGAGTCCTCATCACTAATGCAGATGTTTGCATTGGGTTGCTGGAGTTTAAATGGTACGAGGATATTTACAAAGGACATTTTTTTAAGTCACCAGTTAAGCCCAAGTCAGACATTCCTCTTTGTGGCTACATTTCTCCCTTGGCTTTTAAATCTATGTCACTGAGGAAACTGTGTAGCTCCTTCCAGATGTGAAAATATACAACAGGTATACATATACATACAAATTTAACTGATAGATGAGAATCTATAAACTCTAAAAAAACAATTACTGAAAAGGAGTCAGAATCCAATAAGAAAATATTGAGTTAAAAATGGTAAGTACAAAGTGAGACCCTGTCACAAGAAAAAAGGAAGAAATGGGGGAAGAAGAGAGAAGGAGGGAGGGAGGGAAATGGAGAGGGGGGAGCACTAGCTAACAGGAATAAAGAAACAAAAATAAATTTGAAAGTACCTTTTTATGCTAGCATTGACAATTGACTAAAGGGAACCTAAAAGGACAACTAACCATCTGTTTACCTTTCTCCTTTGTTAGCACAGTATCACTCTGTAATCTAGGCTACCATTGAACTTACAGTGACTTTCTGCCTCAGCCACAAAACTCTTGGGGGTAAAGGATATACCACTTTTCCCAGCTAATATTGTGTCATTTAATGGTTGACAACGAAGTATATATTGGAAAAATCACCTAGTAGTATGAGCAGGGAAAGGATTGGATTTTTAAAAAATTGAGGGTGATTGGTGATTTCTGAATTTTTTAAAAAAATTTCATGAGCAAATTTTCAATTTACCAGAAGTTCTGGAATTAATAAAATGATGTGCTATAGAAATGGTTCAGTGAATAATATACTTGCTGTCCAGGTGTGAGGAGTGAGTGGAGTTTGGATCCACAGTTCCCATGAAAGACTGAGCAATCCAGCATTTAGAGGTAATTCCAACTCTAAGAGTATGAAAAGCAAAAGAAGGTAGATCCTTGACTCAGTCTAGCAAAAACAAGTAGCTCCAGGTCAAGTAACATGCTGTTGCAACAATTAGGTGAAGACAAAACAAGAAATACTTGAAATTTGTACAAGCACATGTGTGTCCATATATTTATTACACACACACACACACACACACACTTACACACTTGAGAGGAAGAGAGACTTAAGGGGAAAGAGACAAATAGACAGAGTCTGAATAATTTCCCTCATCTGCAAAAATTCTTGTAATGATTTGCTGTCCTTTCTTTCAGGAGATGAATATCAACTGTTCTCTGTGGCAGGAGAATAGTTTGTCTGTCAAACGCTTTGCATTTGCCAAGTTCTCTGAGGTTCCTGGAGAATGCTTCCTCCTGTTCACCATCATCCTCTTCATGTTCTTAGTATCACTGACAGGAAATGCTCTTATAACCTTTGCCATCTGCACCAGTCCAGCTCTACACACCCCTATGTATTTCTTTCTAGCCAACTTGTCTCTCCTGGAGATTGGCTATACTTGCTCTGTAATACCCAAGATGTTGCAGAGCCTTGTGAGTGAGGATCGAGGGATCTCTCGGGAGGGATGTGCCACACAGATGTTTTTCTTCTCATTTTTTGGTATAACTGAGTGCTGCCTATTGGCAGCCATGGCATTTGACCGCTGCATAGCCATATGTGCCCCACTCCACTATGCAACCCGAATGAGTCATGGGGTATGTGCCCATTTGGCAATAGTTTCATGGGGAATGGGATGTATAGTAGGGTTGGGACAGACCAATTTTATTTTCTCCTTGAACTTCTGTGGACCCTGTGAGATAGACCACTT